GAGCTGGGGCTACTTGGCACATCAGGTTGCTGCACTAAGAGAGGAAGGCCAAGGTTAAGGACTTCATCACTGGGAGGGTCTTTTTTTTGGGGGGGGGGAGATAGAGTCTCGCTCTGCTGCCCTGGGTAGAGTGCAATGGCGTCATTGTAGCTCACAGCAACCTCAAACTCCTGGGCTCAAGTGATCCTCTTGCCTCAGCCTCCCGAGTAGCTGGGACTCTGGGTGTGGGTCATGACAGGACCATTTAAATCTCTGTGCTACTGCTGCAAAGCCAGTTCTGCCCCTTTTAGGGGCCCTGGGGCATTTTTGTTAGCAGCTACTTCTCTCTCTGGGCATCCTGGGAAGGAAAACAGTTTATCCAGCTCAGTTACTGAAAGGCTCTGGACACATGTACAGAGTGGGAACAAGGATTAAGGGCATAATATAAATAAGTAAAATAATAAATGATGGCACTTCGGCGCTAGTGGAGAAAAAAATGATTTTTAGCAGAACCCCCTCTCCTCCCCAATCCAATCAAGCCATCTGATACCCTTTCAAGATTGTATAAGCAACTTTCCTTTGCTGGGGAGAGGAATGTGACTTGCTCAGTACTGCCACCTCACCACTTCCAGAAAAACAGGCCGGCAGGCACTCACAGCCCAGTGAGAAGGACCATGATGCAGCAGCAGGGTGTGCCATGATGTGGCAGAAGGGCCTCTGCTGGGACAAGGAAAGCAGAAGCACTAGAAGTCCAGGGAGGGAGAAGGGGCAGCCAGCCAACGGCTCTCAGATTGCTGAGGTGGCCTCCGGGGAAAAAGCAAGGACAACTGTGAGCATTTTATCCCATTCCCCCAACCACCCCAAAATGCCCAGCACACTTGCTAGGGCTAAACTTTGGAGACACAAGAAAGGGAAGGATTCTGAAGAGAAAATTTCTTCAATCTAGCTCTGCAAATGGAATATTAACCATGTGCTAAAGTATGTCTGGCTTCAAAGAGCTGCAGCAGAACCCTTTCCTCACCCCAAGGTGAACAAATCTAAAAAATATTAATCCCATAGTCGCTCTAAGGTGATGGAAAGATAAGGAAAATACATTAAGGGATGATAAAAATGTCTCAGTATATCCTGAGAGACCTGATTTCCATCTTGGAGATGGATTAGTCCACATTCAAAGAACTTTGGGTACTAAGACCGCACTGCAGCATAAGATGGGAATGCATCAATAATGGCCTTTATTGTGGCCAGCATCCCTTCCCACAGCCCCCGAAACACACCCTAAAACAACCCACTAAAGCAATCCTATATTATAAAAAATACACACAGAGATCCCCAGCTTTGTCAGATCTAGTGCCTTTTTCCCTTTGGAAAAGGAAACAAAAGCCAGATTTGGGAGCCACAAGCAGGAAAGGATAGCAAAGGGTACGTCTCGGAGTCAGTCAGCTGGGAGCCGAGCAGCTTTCGCCAGGCTGGTTTCTGCAATGCTCAGGATTAAGCCTCAGACTTCTACTTAGCAAGCGCAAGGAGCGCTGTTAGTCAGGACAGTGTTTGGGAACTATGTCTCACATTAATTCCCTGCTGGTACACGGTGTCAGTCATTTACACTGCAGTTGAAAATCACAGCTCCTCCTGCTATGCAGCAATGCTTATGCTGATGGGATTGGAGCACCAATCATCACAGATCTGTCACAGAGAAGGGAGTGCTGGTTTTGCTGCAGTTTCTTCTTATTCAGAAATTCTTTTCTCAAACATGTATTTGTTTGGGAGACTACTACTAACAAGAAAATGAGAGCTCTCCTTTTAGAACTTCATGTAGTCTTAAACGAATGTGTCAAGGCATTCCTTTGCTAATGGTATATGTAATTTTACACTCTCTAAAACCTTAAGTGTGGAAACATTTTGACTTTACCCTGTCACAGCTGAGGAATACTGTAGAATGTACCACTCACCACTGTCACCACAGGTAGAGAAAACATGAAACGTTACTTAGCTGGAGTGGCAAATACAAGCAACAGAAGGAGAGAGGGCAAGCCAATTTTTCAAATACAAATTCCCAAAACTGACAGGGAGCTAAAACCTTTCAGCCTGTCCATTCTTACTGCTCCAGCCCAGCTCATAGAGAGTGAACGTGATGGCTTTGCCCTTTCCAGGAGATGAGCACTTTATCCTTTAGACCAAGCCAACACAATGGACCTAAAAGCTCAATATGCAGGATAAATCTTATTTTTAAATGTTTGTTTATAAATGATAAATTTATAAATGCTTATCATCTTCCACACGGGCCCAGGAAGACTGCAAGCACAGCTTAGTAAGTCATTTCTGGCACAGCATAAAAGGAACATCTCTGTGAGGTAGGTTGCTACGGCAAAGAAAGACTTTGCTGAAAGCTCAATCCGTTAGATCAGTCATCAGCAAGCCCTCAAAGAGAAAGAAATGGAGTCAGATGCAGACGCAGGCACAGCACAGCACAGATTATGAGTCAGGTGTCCGGATTTAGGGCAAAATCAACTGCTTTCCAGATGTATGACCTTGAGAAAAGTTATTTAACTGCAGTAAACCTTGCTTTACTTAACTGTAAGATGAACAGCTCGCACTACACAGACTCTAAGGTCAGCTCCAGAAATTCCAACTTCAGGAAATGTGAGAATAGGTGAGAAATTAGCATTGTCATTGCCACTATGACTATAGTACATTTGCTTGCAAAATAATCCATACCTTGAACCACAAAAGAAATAAGCTATGTTAGTGAAGGCAGCTGACATATATTTTATATATATGAAAATAACCAAAACCCACAAAAAACTAGAATGAAAACCAGAGACAAATAACATATTTTCACAGGAATGCTAGTTTCACCTTCCCATAAAAGAGAAACATATTGTCTTTTGTTTTCTAAAAATTCACCCTACACTGGAAGGGTTCCTATAAGTTCCTATAACCAAAAAATAAAAAGAAAGCACAAAGCAAGGAATTTCAAAAGTATTAATACAAAATATTTTTAAAATAGTTAAATAATTGTATTTTAAATAAAATTTAAAATATTTTGTTTTAACCATATTTGCCATCAATTTCTTAAAAGTAGTATTTGAAGCCCTTTAGATATAAGTGCTGAGACTTTACTTCAGGAAAAATCTCAAAATTTCTATCTTCTAACAATAAAAAGTAGCTGTAAATTGGCAAGGCAGTGCTAAAGCTGTCTTCAAACTTGATTAAAGGAAAATAACTCGTGCAGTCCACCTCTTATCACTGTGCTCCTGGTGACGCCATTTTACTCCTTCCTCACTGCCATCTTAGTGCCACGGACTGTCTCCTAGCGGGCTGGCTGACATGCCTTCTTATCTACATTATGGTGCTGCCAGAGCAGTCAAAGGTTTGATATGAATACATTTTTTGTGACAAAAAGAACCAACTCCTGACTATATATTACCAGCCAGGCTAAAATTTCATGAGAAAATTGAAGAGCTTCAGATTGAAGAGATTCAGGAATCCCCTAGAAGTACCAGAAAGGAGAGCCTCTTCCCAGCAGCCAAACTTGAGTAGACCATGGAGGAGGCAAAGAAAATAGGAAGAAACTGGGTGTATCCCACCTCCCAGAGCACTTAATACACAGCTTAATTATAAAGGCAGCAAAAAGAAATAAGACCAGGATCTTCAAATTTTACTTTAAAAATTTCAATGAAAGGCTTTGAGACACCTCCCCCAGGCCATCCAATCAAACATTTTATACAAGCAAAGCTGCAGTTAAAATGGAGTTCTAATGTGCTGCCCTAAAACTCCTGATTTCAAGATGCAAGCCTTGTAAAAATCAAAGGAAAAGAATCCCGTTGCATTCTACCATATATCTAAACAATTAATATATTAAATGTCACCCCTGTCAGGATTAAAAAATTATGTTGGGATCTAAGCTCTCATGCTCAAGTTAAAATTTGTACCACAGATTTATGGAATCTTTATAGGATTCTAACCAGGGTTTACAACAACTGAACCTTCCTGTGTCAACGAAAAGGTTAATGTGAAGAAAATTGTTCTCTCCCTAGTTTCAAACATATTAATTAGAGAAAACAGCATTCAGTGACTAGGATGAATAGCAGTTAGGGCAGCAAGACCCAGAACAGTTGGCTTTATAAATCTGGTATCAAGTTAAAAGGATTCTGATACCCAGTTCTGTAAAGATTCAACTACTGAAGCAGCTACTAAAGCATTCTGAGCAAATACTTCATGTATAGTTTACTGTAAAATACACTCACTATAAATTCTTCAGGGTTTAAAAGATAAAAATTCTTCAGCCTTTAAAAGAAACACATAAATCAAAGTTAAAATCCACTTGTTTCCTCTTATTAAGAGCATAAAAAGAACAAAGAAATAAGCCAGGTCAAATCCAATTAATTTTAAGAATCAAGATTTATAAGTTCATAATTACAAAAAGCAGTTTTACACAAGTAGCTCTGAAGTCACAACTATTAATTAAGCAGAAGGCACTAAAAATTGTCCCCATGAGTGAGAGTGAAAGCCTCACTTTATTGATCTTGCAGGACACAATCTTGTTTTGTCAAAATATTTTTTTCTTATGTCTTTTAATCAGCTATTATAGGTTATTAACATGAAAACATTTTCTTAAAAAAATAAGGAGACACTAAAATCCAGCAATTCTTTTCAGGAATGGAAAACACACTGTTTTTAAAAGTGAAAAGAAGCCTGAACTCTTTTAAATTTATCATATTCAGATTTCTTTTTTCTCTCAAGTGTCATTTCCATACATGACTAGTGATAAATTCACACTTCTCATTAACTTCAATTACTAATGCATAATTAATTAAAATCATGTGCTAAAATCATTCATAAAACCTGTATTTCAAGTATATGCATCACACCTGATTTTAACACATACATTAAAAAAATACATCCACAAACCTCTGTGTTACACCTTTCACGTTTGCAGCGTTCATTTAAAAGTCTATTTTGCCCATTCAACCAAAGACAAATTTTCAACCTGTCACCGCTATATGAGTATGAGAAATACTTACTGTAGACAAAAGGATTCCATTTTCTTTCTGAGAATATTCTCCACCCTCCTAAAGAACTCTTCTATACAGTGTGCAAATTTATTTTCTTAGTTTTATAGTAACAAAGCTCCTGTGCCATAGGACCTAACATAAATGGAATGGCCCTGCTGTTGCCTTCAGAACCCAGCTCACCTCAACCATGATACAGCTAATTGTTAAAAATGGTGGCTGAAACATTTTCCATACATTAAATTAAGGAGCTCTGATGAAGGCGCTGGCATCCACCCACTTCAGACAAAGGCAAATAATTTGCAACTGTACCAAGGCACGGATAATTGAGTCATCTCCCATACAGGGTCAGTGTTAGAGGTTTCCTCCATCTTTACAAAATGCAAACCACAGCTCATTGTCTCATCTCAGAAATCAATTCTTTGCAATGCTGCACCAGGTCAGAGTTTTAAAGGAATCTTACTCATGGGTAAATCCAAACCTCCAAAGCCTAGGAGGAGGAGGAGGCTTTGGAGGAGCCAAATTCTCAACAGTTCCTCTCCCTTCCCTGAGCAGCTCTCCTCTATTCCCCACTTGACAGCTCCTCAAGCCTTCCTATTGTTAAGAGTAAAGAAAGTCCCACACCTCCGAAGGGAACTAAATCCTTCAACTAGGTGAGCAATTTCCAAGTCTGTGCTTCATAAAGAAGTCCAAACCCTACAGGTCCCACAATACAAATACATTCCTTGGAATAATTTTGTTGTTCTTTTAAAGACAAGACTACAAACAAGCTGCTTTTTATTGCTGAGTTCAAAGCATTTTATCTCTGGTATTAATCAATGCATTAAAGGTGTTCTAGGCAACATTTATTATTTCATTATCTTCCAGATAATGCTTACATGACTTAGGAAGTTTTCATTTCACTTATACAAATCACATGCTGTATGCCAAAAATCTGAAATATACTTAAAGGACTCACATCATACTCTTTTGAGGTTGAATTTAAGAAGCAAAAAGTAACTATCTTAATTTAAATTGCCAATATTTGATAATACTTAAGACTCCCCATCTTTGGTGTTACTATTTAATTCTTCTCATTTAAAGCATTTTGCTAAAACATTTCCTGCAAGATAATTGCAAAAATCTTTAATAGTACTTTTCCCCTAATCACCAAATATAAATGACTGAATTCCTTCGTAAGGCATCCCACACACACACACACACACACACACACACACCTACAATACCAAAGGACCTGGTTTTAGCAAAGAAAAGAAATTATATTTTCATATTTTACCCCATACAAGAATTATGTACTTCACATGTATCTCTTTTAAAAATCCCTAAAGAAAACCCACACTACTTGCTACTTGAAGTCCGCAAAAATCCTAAATAACCAACTATTTGAATCTTTAAGCAAATACCTCTCTGCCCCACCCAAGAAAATTTTTTAAAGAAAAATATTAGAATGCCAAGGCAGAAATCTCAACAATTCTCAGAAGAATCAAGTACTTTTTCTATCAAATGAGCTAACTGCTTCTGAATTTATCTCAATTTTTTAAACAAACCAAGACTTTTGTCTTTCAGAGGTACAACATGCTGTCACTCTATATAGCAGGTACATTTATCTTAATTTCTTTAGAAAACATAGGCAATCCTACCTGCAGCAGATTTAAATTTAAGGAGTTACAGAACGGTCGATGCTGTTGGTCCCTGCAGCTCTTCCATACCTTCCATGTGGGATGAGCTCTGTCAGAACGGTGCTCAAGTTTTTCCCACCCCAAACTGCCAGAATTGAGGGTTGGGGGTGGAGGAGGGAGAGGAAGAGAGAGAGGAGAGAGGAGAAAGAGACAGAAAGAAGAAAAAGGAAAAGAACGACTGCTCTGCAAGTGCTGATATGACTGAAGCACTAAAGAGTCCAATTAGACAATGAGATTGCAGGGTCCCCTGAAAAAGGGTGCACTGCAGCCCCCGGGAACAGAGCATCACCGTTTGCTGTGCTCTACACAAATTCAGAGAAGTCAGCCGTCAGTTTAAAGCACAAACTGATGGGAGTAACAGTTTATAGGTTACAGAAGGGTATTTTATTGTTAACGGACTGTACCAAGTTAAGATTTAAGAGGGGGAGAGACAACATGTAGGCAAGGAATGCTATGATACTTTTCCTTCCCCCGACCCAAGCCACTGCAATTACTCTGATGTGAATTTTTGATGACTTCCGACATCTTGCATGGTTAATAATTGCTTCAGCTGTCATGTTTGGTTAATGTAGAAAATGCATTTGCTGCATTGTGATGCAGTGCTGTGGCCACAGATTGTAACACCAGTTGTGAAGCTGGTCTCTTAACTGAGCAGCAGGAATTTGCACATGCCATGATGCTAAAATAAATGGTAGTTAAAAGATTTTATACAGCAGCAGACAGATTCTGCCATTTTAGTCTACAGAATGTGTAGCTCCAACATACAGAAGCATCTCAGATCATTGTGCCCTTGTCAATTGTACTGTCCTTCAAAAGAACAGTAAATTAGCCATCATAAATGTTTGGTCTCTTAGCAGTTAAAAGATTTTGATACTGGTTAAGTAACTATTTAGATTAATTACAGCTTTGAACAGAACAGAGGTTATTTTCATTTCAGGAATATACAGCCAATGAAACTGTCAGTGACACAGGAAAATGCAGACCTTTTATTAACATATGCTCAGCTGAACTGTCACTTCTTTGTACAACATTTAGGAAAAATATATGATGTGTAAGTAATGAATATTCCCATTATATTTTTTAAAGTGCTCCTCAGAAAGGGATTTTTTCTCTATGTTTTAATGTATAACCTGAAAATTAAAGACTACATTAAAATACTAACATGTGTTTTTCATTTCACGGAAGGAAATTCAATGCAGCAAACAACTGTGCAATTACAGGAAAGCTTGTAAAAAAGCAAAGATGAAACCAAGCTAAGATCCAGGCACCAGATGATTAAAGTCAGGCCAGTCAGGCGGTGGGCCATCATTATCGTGCATATTGCAAAAGAAAACTAGAGAAAAAGACCATTCCATCTTCAAAAACAAAAACCATAAACCCAAAGATTGCAATCTGTTGGTTGCAAAACCAACACCTACACTGCAGAACCGGAAAGACACTAAATATTTGCCAATTTCATAATGTATTTCTATACAAATATTAACTTGGCTATTTTGCATATAAAATTTGGCTATTTAAAGGTTCTTATTCATCTACCATCATCATTTTTGTATTTTATGAAGCAAAACCAAGTTACAGACTTTGTTGCTTTAAAAAAACTAATATAATTAACTTACATTTCTTACATCAGAACTTTTGCCAATTAAATAAATACCCAGAGTTGAGATGTTTCAGATATTTTTGCCTTACAAAAACAAACAAAAAACTCAACTAAACTAAAAAGAATGAACATAGGGACACACTGGTATTTGAACAGTGAATAACAATGAAAGAACTTATGTTACTAACATAAAAATCAACTCATGATTTCCTTTGTTTTATTCATTGTGATAGCACCAAATGCATAATTTGGAGGTGCATGTGTTAACAAGCGCTGTAAAGCTGAAGAGCTTTCTAGTTTTGTTTCTTACCCTAACTTAAAATTAACTGTACCAACAGTGCTATTTGGTGCCACAGCAGATGTCACAGTAGTTGCAGCTAACATTCAACAATTCAAGCTTTTTTTGTTCCAGACCCAATACAAGGTACCACTGACAGCTCAGAAACAGCACAAGGAGGAAGGGAACATGTGTGTTGGGGGTAAGCTTTGAAATTAACCAGGCTCAGCTTATGCTCCAATTACTGAACAAAAGATAATCCTTGGGGACCTCTCTCTGAACCAGAGCAAGGAGCAAATTCTTTTGTTTCTAATCAAATAAATACTGTATTGGAGCATAGAGGATATGCAGCAATAGCAGTCTCAGCCTGGGGATGAAAAGAATCCAAAGACCCAAGTGTGGTTAAAGTCAAACCATTTCACGCATGTAAAACCTGTTCCCAAGGGATATATCTGAGGTTCACGACAAGAGAGTGAGAAAACTCTATTTACTAAAAAAAAAAAAAAAAAAAAGACCTTGTTAAGTCACTTTTAAGACATTTTTTCTCTTTAGTATTGCCAACAAATAAATTAAAAGGATATTTTCTGATACGAGAATAAGTCCTAAGCCAGCTCAGACCATTTTCTCCCTATCAATGAGTATCCCAAGGAAACCAGAGATGCAGGCTTGGAGTTGCAGAATTTTCTGGCTACAAAGCACCTCATAGCAGAGGGTACCCCAAAGTGTTAACTAACCTCCCTTTGGATCCCAGATGCCAGACTATGTATGTAGAGGTCATAAAAATGCTACAAAGAGCCACCTTACAAAGGAGATGCTTTTCTACCTGTTAGTCACTAATTGAACATAAAGTGATCTATTCCTAAATGTCTATTTAGTAATCCATTGTTTAATTTTGTGTTTTGGCTTTATACCCTAGGAGAGAAACTAAAGCAAAGACAGAAGAGTAGAAAATTCATGGGCCCGATATTTACTAATATGAGGGATAAAAGTAGGCTCACTTATATAAATGCAGAGATTATAGCATAGAAAAAGGAAGCTATTGAAATTCTGACTCAAGAAGAATTATAATAATTGCCAGGTAAAATTATATTCAAATGAACAACTGTAATGCTGCATGGTACACTGCCCATATGCAGGACTTTGCCCAGAAATCAAACTTTTATAGATCCCTGGTGGGCTCTGTTCTGTCTTCTGACAGGTTCACCAGGCTGCTGGGAAAATCAAGTAATATTACTGATGGGTAAGTGCTTTTTAAGAGTAAAGTATGACAGGCCAGGTGAGGCTGAACAATTTACTCCCCCCACCGACCACCCCTCAGCTTTCTGAGGCATAACTGGATACTGGTTCCCCTCCCAGCCCACCACTCCCAAACTCCTCCTGGCTCCTTTTCCTCACTGAGACCTGGTCCCCTGGCCTCAGGCTACCCATTTCTCCTACTGCCAGACTCTTTTCACTGCCACAACTCTTCCCTCTAGGACACTGGCTCTTGAAAATTCTGTCTGGAGCTATTTTCTGAGCAGTGTTTCTCACCCTGTCTCTAAATGCTTTGGGGGCATTTCCACAGTGATGGCTTGCCAGAACATCAAAACTGGAATGAAATCTCAGTTCTCAATCTAGTTAATCTTCCCACATTCTCAGCCTCAACCAAAAGCACCAATCCTTCCCCTTGTTCCAAACCTTGTGTAATTTCTGAACATCTTTCTTAAGCCCATCAGGCACCAAGAGCAGCAGCTGTTTTATTCCAAATGTCTTTCACACATCTTTCTCCTCTCCATTTTCTTGGCCAACACCCTGGTCCTGGCTGTTGTCACCTCGTGGCTGGATCATTATAATTGCCTCTGAACAACACCTCAGCAGCTATCCTTCCACTGGCCAAGCCAACTCTGGTAAGCATCGCCATGCCCTCCCTCCTTTCTTCTCGACATTTACCTACTCCAAAACTTTCCACAGCACCTACCACCTACACTCCATTGCCTGGCACTCACTCCCTCCGTATTTGATCCCTCCTCCCTGACAGATTTTACGTCTTAGCACAGAACTTCTGCTCTCACCTCCCTGACTTTAGTCAGGGTATTACTCCTCTCTCACTTCCTGCATGCTAAACCCATTTCATCATTCAAGGCCCACTTGGTTCCCATCTGTTCCAGGAGTCTTCCCCAACTACTCCAGAATTCACTCATTACCCACTTCCTCTCCTCTGAGCTCCCAGCATATTTGGAATCTCATGTCACTCCCATTCAGATTTGCCTTTGGACAGTTTGATCCTGTTGGAGGAATGTTAGTGTTGGCTCTCCAGGTAGAAGACAAGGAGCTTCCAGGGGGCAATAGCAAGAATTTATATTTATTTTAATTATCTTCTGTTCCTATCATAATGCTATTCTTAATGGGCACTCAAAAAAACCACTTTTATTAGTTTTCACTAGTCCCCGCTCAGGCAGATGTAGTTACTGAAAGGGGAGCTAAGTATTACATTTATTTGTTATTTGTTCTTTCAAATCTCTTCAGTTCCCTAAGATAATTTCAGCCTTAGGTAGCTAGATGCTAAGGTGGTTCTTGGCCAACTTGCAGAGGCATCAAACTCTTCTTTGTGACTAAGCATCATTACCAACAGTATTCAATTCCCAAAGCCAGCTTCCTTCTCATATGCATCTAGAGCCAAGGAGGTTCAGGGAAAATGAGATGGTCCTGACCCAAAGTCAGTGGTGTGACATTCACAGCTCATCTGTCCTTACAAATCAGCTGAGAATGAAAAAGCAAGTCTGTTAATTTATTGCAGACATTTCATCCTGAGTATCTTTAAAAGAGAGGAAAATGACAGATTTAGGCAGTCAATAAAAAAGAGAGAAAGAAAGAGAGACAGATGATTTCTGCATGTATTTATTTAGCAGTAAAAAAAATTAAGGTTTATTCTCTGTTGCTCATACACAAATCAGTCTGCCGAGGGGATCAAGAAATAGGAAAAAGA